ATATATATATATATATATGACAGTTACTCTGACAAAACAGCTGATTATTTTTCCTTATTTTAAGATCATCTTTGTGTTTTTTTGGGACAAATTTATAAGTATATGCATTTAGAGAGTTCGAGAAATTAATATTTAAAGACCTGATTTTATTGGTAACGCTTTCTTTTACAGTACCCTTATTACCATGTAATTACAAGGTAATAAAAGTAATTAAAATTGTAATTACTACCTTATTACCATGTAATTACAAGGTAATAAAATAAAATTGTAATTACTACCTTATTACCATGTAATTACAAGGTAAAAGTAATTAAATTGTAATTACTACCTTATTACCATGTAATTACTTTTATACCCTAATTACCATGTAATTACATGGTAATTAGGGTATAAAAGAAAACTACTGTTAGTAAAACTACCTTTATTAGGTAACTACAATCAAATTACTATTCAATAGTAACTCAACACTATATAACCAAAAGAATGTAACTAAATTTTGGGGTTAGTGGTTAATTGCAATAAAATAAAACTATAAAACTGTCCAAATTACCTACTACTTATTTAGGTGTTACATAGTGAATTGTAATACATTACCAGGTAAGTGCTATATTACTGCAGACAATTAATTATAAAGTAAAATTGTACTCTAATTACCACGTAATTGCATGGTAATAAGGTAGTAATTACATTTTTTTTACATTGTAATTACATGGTAATAAGGTAGTAATTATGTTTAATTACATTTTATTACATTGTAATGACATGGTAATAAAGGGAACCATAAAAGAAAGTGTTACCATTTTATTTTAACACAACAAAACAAAAATACGCACAATTGAAATAATAAAAAAATCTATTTTTTCTCATTAGAATTAGTACATTTCTCATTAACACCTGAATGATTGGCAAATCATTTGTTGCTCTTTTCATAGGATTTAGTAATTGTAAATATATAGAGTTTAATTTGCCTTTTCTGTAAAAAAAATTAAAAAATAAACAAAGTTATGATTGGTCACGATGTGTGCTGTTCTGCATCTAATCATGCGGTTCTGTCCCATCAGAGGGGTTCTGGCCATCGCCTGGAGCTTGGCTGATCCTGAGCTTCTGCTGAGCTGTGGGAAGGACAGCAGGATCCTGTGCTGGAACCCAAACACAGCTGAGGTAACACTGTGACACACCTGTAGCTCAGTTTTTGTTCCTCGCCTCACAAGACATGAGAAATCATCTCATTTCCAGGTACTGTACGAGCTGCCTACCAGCAGCCAGTGGTGCTTTGACATCCAGTGGTGCCCCAGAAACCCTGCTGTACTGTCAGCTGCAGGGTTCGACGGACACATTGACATCCACTCCATCATGGGGGGCAGCAGCCAGGCACAGACCCAGAGACATGCCGACCAGGTGAGACTTAAAGCTCCAAGAACAGGTGTTTGAGCCACCAGTGTGGCAAAATGACAGAAATGATTTTTACAGTCTTTAAAATATGTACAATACATCAAACAGTGTCTATAAAGTGACAAAACTGTCTTGAAGTTAAAAAAATAACACATCCGACACATGATGATCCAAGTTTATTGAAAGTGCATGAATTAGTCCAAAAGTCACCAGGAGCCTTCATTATCAGAGTGCAGCTTTCCTACTTAAAGTTGGCTTAGAGGCCAAACTGGAAAATGTTGTAAATGAATTATCAAGACGTTTGACACAAAGAATGAAGAACAATCAGCAGATGTGATTACTGAGCTCTGTCTGACAGCACACAGTTCATATACAGACAAGGTCTGCAGCATGAAGTGACTCAGCTCTTAAAGGGTCACTTACAAAAACCATGTGTTATTTGTCAAACACATTTGTTGACCTCTAACCATAGGGGTCTAACCCCACCTGCCTTATGATGGGTTATAAACCTAATTCTACTCTACAATCAACAGCTGTGTCTTCACTCTTACATTTCTGATAACAAAAGTTATCAGATCAGCAGCATTTATATCTCTTGTAATTAAATGAACCATAATGTTTCAGATCACAATTTAACCAGCAGAAAAGTGCGTGCATCAGATTTATCAAACCAAGCACACACACATGTTTCTGTGCTTCTTTTCTTTATACATCCCAACAAACAGGAAACTAAGGCAGTCAGACACACACACCTCCACACACACGTCCATCTGCAGTGTGTCAGGATTGGAGTTAGGATTAACGTGTGGATTGAGTTTGGGTTAGGTTTTGGATCAGGCATGTATTTTTTTGAGGTTATGTTTCGGGTTGAGAATCGATGATATCTGCCATGTAACACAGTCTTTGTGTTAGATGGCAGATATTGATCACAGACTTGTGAACTGAATTGAATTGAAATCATATCGTGACAGACTTTATGATAGAGAAATATTGAATCATTATTTAAACATATCGATGTAATATTGTATCGTGATAAAGCTGGTGATTTACACCCCTAGTTAACAATGAAGTTCATCTAAAATAAATGTTCACATTATTTAGAAAAGTTCCTTCTAGTGATTTTTTTACAGTTAACTGAGGTTAGGCCTGGTGAAGACCCCTAATGCTGAGTAGTTAATAATATTAGAATTAAAGTAGTTAAATTTGAATTATGCCTTTTTTGTATTTTAAGCAACTCCCTTTGTTATGTAGTTGGTAATGAATACTTCCAATTTTTGAGGTTTATTTGTATTATTTTAAGGTTGTTCTCTGGTGGCCCAGTTTATTTATCTAGTTAGTACAGGAGCAGCCTCAGTACTTATTCATATCTAATGCTAGAGAGTATTTCAGGACTTAATCATCAGTGGTGTCCACTGGGTCAACAAGCCTTTCAGCCATTTATCATCAGACGCTCTCACCAGTGGGGGATGCCCCGGGGTGGTCAGTTCCTGAGGTCAAGTCCTGTGTCAATATATTAAAAATGTTATTTTTATAAAAGATGAGCAGTAGAGCTGTCAATTTGATTGCAAAGTCTATTAATTTGGAGGGTAAACTATTATTTCTGAGGGTTAGGCTGTAGAAATGACCAGTAAATGAATAGAAGTCAATGCAAAGTCCTCATGAAGATAGAAGACCAAACGTGTGTGTGTGTGTGTGTGAAGCTGTGGCTGTCAGAGCAGAGCAAACCTGCAGAAGTAAATAAAAATAAAATAATAGTTCATCTGTACAGGTTCTTCTTTAATGAAATGTTTCATCTGAGGTGAACTCAGTGTTTTAATCACTGCCTGTGAACAAAGTTTAACAAAAACCATCAGAACTGTTTGTTCACATGCAGAAATTAACCCTCACATCTACACATGGGACACTATGAAATTATGACGTATGGGTTAAAATATCACGGTTTCACGTTATGACAGAATTATGATTACAGCNAAATGGACTTTGTTGTGATCATCAGCCGGACATCATTGAGACCAACAGACAGTTTTATGTCAGGGGGGAGTGCTGAGCTCCAGGTGATAGACACATCCAATATATGAGTAACGTGAAAGCTGACTACAGTTGGAAAAAAGACACAAGACACTTAATTTGTCTTAAAATCCAGACATTGTGACAAATCAGTAACTGTAACCTTACCTCAGCAGAAGGCAGAGGGTGTCGGTCTTTTCTGCTCAGATTTAGCTATCGGAGCATGAAGCTAATGTTTACTCACAATGCTAATGCTATCCTTACTCTCTGGTGCTCTAGAGTGTAGAGGGTAGACTTATGTAAAATAAGCCTCCTTACATCTCATAACTTAGTTATGAGAGAAGTTTTACCAAGGTATTTTCCTCATTACTTTAATATTTTGACTGTGCAAAGTGAAAAGTGACACAATAAGGGAACGTTCAGACGAGTTCAAGTTGATTTCATAAAAGATTATGCAATCATTTATTTACACAACTTGAACAGATCATAAGTTACACCTGATTGTGGGTTTTCCTATAACAAGCTTCAAGTTAAAATGAGGTAAAATTCGAGTCCGAATTTCAATTCACATTAAACTCAGATTACTTATATATAGAACAGTAAAACATCAGTTCTGATGTAACAACCAAACTATTTTACTGGCACTTTTAACTTAAGATTGGCAAATAAAGGATAAGAAAAGGGGTGAAAATAAGGTTAGTGTTTCTGCTTTTATTTTGTTAAGGGTATCAACCGGATCAGCAAGTCCCCTCTGCGCTCAGATTTCCACATGACACGTCACCTGGAACACGACAGGGTTTACCTGTTGCTGGCTTCTTGACCACACCCCAGGCAAATACTGCCTCACCTCAGACCAGCCAGGGAACGTTTGTTCGGCCCGCTCACTGCTCCTTGGCGAGAAAGTGTTTATTTTAGGCAACTTTTCGTCTGCTTCGAACTTCGTCAGAAAGATTGGAGCTGAAGCTTCCGGTTCGTCCTTCTAAATAAAAGTTCTCCCCTCGGGAGTTAAAAACACTTAGAGACCTGAGTCTCAATGTGGACAGTAGTGGCGTGCTACTGTCCGGGCCGTCAGATCTCCCCTATTTGGCTTATGGGCGAGATCTACGGCCGAGCTGGTTCCTCCGAAGAGAATCAGCCATGTCTTCCCCGTTGGCATTCAGGAAGAAATGTGTTCCGTCTCTCAAAGACGTCCGTGTTAGTAATAGAGGCAGACAACATTGGTTCCGCCCTCAGGCGTTAAGAATGAGTCACAGAAAGGAAAGAAGATAAGAGCTTTACCAGTGGTGCCAGTGCAAGGTCAAATTC